TGATTTTTTCCGTTCTTTTTTCTGAAGACATAACGAATTGATTCCTCTGACAGCAGAGGGACCATTTCACCCAGTATAACAAAACGTGCTTCTGAACAGGATTGCCTACCCTACCTTTAACTTGTCTCTAAACTATTGTCTCATTCTTTTTAAATGCCACTGGTTGTAGGATTTGTTCTGGACACACAACTTGCCTGCAACAATTTTTAAAAGGTTTTTCTGTTTCTGCTTCTCCCTCGCCCAATCACCCATTCTGGCCCTTTTTGATTGGTCCCCTGCATCGTCCTGATCACATCCCTACAAGCAGCAGGAGCTGTTGTCAGCTCAGAGGTCCCTCCAAGGCCGCAGGGAGCTGTTGGAGCAGGCATGTCTGAGCCACACGAGGAAGCGGCAGGTGCTTTCGCCTGAGGATCTCAAACACCTCATTGTGGACGATAAACACAGCCTTATTTACTGCTACGTACCCAAGGTTGGTTACCATGAGATTAAGTAGTGCAGCTGAAGTTCTAGGCCAGAGGTTTTCAAACTGTGAGGTGGGTGGGGGGTCCGAACACATAGACATGATGCACATATTATCTCTGATGTTCATTGCAAATAAACTTCTATAAATCTGCTCAGAAATCATAGAAAAAAGTCAGTTTTTACTAAACTATTATCACGTTTGGAGTATCAAAGTAATCCAGTGATAGTTGTCACAGTGTCAGAGTTTGAAAACCTCCGTTCCAGACTACAAAATATTTCACTATATAAGTAATAACAGCTTTTAGTTCAGATTGCTGAGAGTTTGTTTCAGTTATAAAACATGTATGAATGGATTTTGGGACTTGAAATAATTTCCTCCTCTTTTTTTAATCACTTGTAGGTAGCCTGCACCAATTGGAAGCGTGTCCTTATGGTCCTCACCAGTGAGGGCCGCTACACCGACCCCCTTGCCATCCCAGCGAACGAGGCCCACGTGGCAGGTAACCTCCGCACGCTTTCCGAGTTCTCTGTCCCCGAGATCAACAAACGCCTTCGCAGCTACCTCAAGTTTATCTTTGTGCGGGAGCCCTTCGAGCGCCTGGTGTCTGCCTACAGGAACAAGTTCACCCGTAGCTACAACACCGCTTTCCACAAGCGCTACGGAACCAAGATCATCCGCCGGCACCGGCCCGACCCGGTACCTGAAGCGCTGGAGATAGGGAACGACGTTTCTTTCCACGAGTTTGTCCAGTACCTCGTGGACCCTCGGACCCAACGGGAGGAACCGTTTAACGAGCACTGGGAGCGGGTACACTCCCTCTGCCACCCCTGCCTGATCCACTACGATGTAGTGGGGAAGTACGAGACTCTGGTGCCAGACGCTCAGGCTGTGCTCAGGTTGGCTGGAGTGGAGGGAAAACTCCAATTCCCAACGTCTGGCAAGAGCACCAGAACTGATGGCAACATGGCGGCACGCTTCTTCAAGCACATCAGTCCTTTTTATCAGAAGAAACTGTTCAACCTGTATCGAATGGACTTCCTGCTCTTCAACTACTCCACGCCAGAGTACCTCAGGACTCGATGAAGGGTGGAGAGAAGAGGGTTGACAATCAGCGCCGCGGGCGGACCTGTTGTAATAGGTCTCACCTTTCACGCCCCGGTCAAGACTTTTTGTCAGTGATGGATCATTTTGCACTTTTTGGTTGTACAATTGTCATCCCTGCCTGAGTTGTCTGTCACAAGCACAGACTTGTCACTATGGCTCTCCAACAAAAACTAGATTTTCTGGTTTCAGTGAATGGAACTTTGCAAATGGATCCAGTTTCTTCCTAAGAAGAAAAGGGAGGCCGTTTGTGCCGTGATCCAAGCATCCGTCATATTTGCTTTCCAAAGTGTGAAAAGTGGGTATTGTTTTGACGTTTAGCAGAAAAAAATGAGGACAGGTTATTCCCACAATGTGTTTGAAAATGCAGGTGACACATGAACTGTCCTTTCTATCTGGGCTTCAGGTTCAGTTAGAATTAAAAAAAAGTATTTATTTTTCATGCCATTCACCTAGAAATGGAGCAAATCTGTCTTTGGCTTTTAGTGTTTGTTACGTGTGGTCGTCAACTGGGTGTAATATGCCATACCAGCATCCCTGCGGTGCCCACTACACTAAAGCTTCTATCGTGGCTTATTTTTCTAAGAACTAATGAGCCATAAATGAAAGTCTCTCACTTCAGAGGAGCAGGTCCTCCTCTTGCATGGATAGGTGAATGTGCTGACTGAGGCCAAACACAGCAGATCCATTCAAAGCACCTACAGCACAACAATAACTGGATGGCTTTTATTTATGTACGTCAGCGCATAAAGTATTTATTGTTATGGAAATCATGTGGTAGTAAGAAGTTGGACTCATGATTGGTGAAAATGAATTTTATATGGAAGAAGGGAAGGGTTTCTCTTTTGTAGAGTGAATTTTTGTTGGATGGAAAGTTGTCTTGGCTTTTGCACGTAAATTCATGCCAACTAGAAATGCTCTGGACAATTTAGAAATCATCATATCCTACTCTTTTTTTCTTTTCCTCTTCTCTGATCAAACCCTAGCTCAAACAAGATTCCCTGGGCTTGACTTATCGAACTTGTCACAGCACTCGTTGACACTATCTTAAATCTGAGAATAATTCCCAGGCAAACTCGCAGTCACTCTTCAATTCCAGTGAAAGCTTGTTGCCATCCCTCCTCTATCACTGTCTGCATTTAGCTGTGGGCAGGTAGGCTGAACAAACAACCACATAGCTGTGGTCAGGGCTGGGCCCAGCTCAGCACTGCCCCCGCTCAGAGCTCTCCTTGTTAGGGTGAATGCAGGCACCTGAGGGGTTAATCCACCTACAGTCATCTCCACTGCAGGGCCTTGTTCAGCAAATGGGATGGAATTTACGGTAAATAATACGGAGGGTAACGTAGGAAAATGTTTATTAATGGCCTGTACTGTGAAAATATACAAAAAAGTCTTCATCTTAAAATAATTAAAGGGGAACTCCACCGATTTTACACATAGTAGCCCATTTACAGGTCTTTGGCTGTTCTACTGCGAGAAGAAAGTTGTACAAATCCTTTTGTGGCTCCAGAAGGAACATGTGATCAATTGCCTTTAAGTGATGTCACTTGAGTCAGCCTCAGTTGGGAGACAAGACTGAAAAGGAAACAAATCCGTGGGGTGTGGAGTTACATTAGCCGCCACTAGCACAACACGGCGACTCTCCGATCCAACTGACGGTGGTTGAGTTGCATTGTGGGTAATGTAACCGTCAGGGAAGGAAGACTGTCCATCACAAGTCTGACAATATTAACGCTATATTGGTGGTGTTCGCCATCATTTCTTGAAAGTAGTTCAGTCAGGATCACTTTTGTCAAAAGAAGACTTTATTTCCAAACGCAGTATGATCTGGGACCTCCTTCCACAATGGAAAGCTTGAGACAAGGACAGCAGCAGCAAAGACCCCCAGGGTCCCGAACAGAGCAAGCATCAATAGGAACAGAAATGACTGATTAAATCCCCTGGAAATCACCTACTGCTTTTGTTTCTGCCTTTTTCTATGATCAGTAACACATTACATAATCTTTCCAGAAGAACTGCTAGGGGAACTGGGTAATAATGGACCTATAAATAAAGTTTTACCATAAAATCTCACCCTAACCTCACACCCTTGGCTACAGTGATATCGTCAGTGGGCCCACTGTTGTTTTGTGAGGAACTCCTTTTGCCCAGTCAGATCCTCATCAGGTCAAAGTGTTTCAAAATGAAGACAACAGCCATACAGCAACTCAGCTATGCTCTTTCTAATAATTCCTAGCATTTCCAATTGTAACAAGTGACTGTTTCCAGTCTACTCATCACTGTTTAGCTCCGACTCAGAACATCCTGGGGCTACCCCGACTATCTGGCCTGGATGAATTGAAAACATTGAATGCTGGGATTAATACGGACCTGACATAGCTAGTTTTCCCCAACAATAACAAGAATTCACCTCAAAACAAAAACAGTCATCATTTTCATTAAAAAAGACATGTCCCACAGTCTGGACATTAGTTTCAGTTTAGCTTAAAAAGCTAAATTGTGTTAGTGCCTGTCAAGTCACGCTGGCACTGAACTGGCACTCAGTCATTTATTTTTCTTCCAGATTTCTTTTGTAAAACGTTTCATCTTGCGTAAGAAAACGGGTCGAGGCCAGCCTACTCTGGAAACATTGCTTTGTTTTTTTTTGCCTGTAGTCATTCTGAGAAGTGCAATATGTGTGTGTGAGTATCTGTAATGTGTTAAAAGCTGTATCTTTATTAGTGACTTCCTCTTTAAAATGTGTGCCATCATGCTCATGCCACATTTATTTTTCTGTTTGGCTATGATTACAGCCATGGATTACAGGATCTTCATTTTAATGCTCCCCTGTGTAGCAGTGTGTGATTCAAGCCATCACTTGCAAGAAGATGTGACTCGCCAAAACCCAGTCACACCCTTCATGTTTTTTCTTCCTGCTGGCTCGATGACACGCTGCACAAAATATATGTTTTACCTTTTAATTTCTTTTTTTTCTTCTCCTGAAAAATAGAGAATAATAAGTAGCTTGTTCCTTTAAAGGGATACAACAGACTGTATATCCATTTTAAACAACCAGACGCTGCTGTGTATAACACAGCTAGTCAGCCGTTTCTGTAGAAATGTTACTTTGGTCAGACCTGTGACTTTGTGAGTCATTGTGAAATAGGGAACAGAGCACAATCTACAAGAATCTCTCACGCACTGGTTTGCTTTTGCCAGAAAAAACTGTGAATGTGATAACTTGATAAGTGAAGTGCACTTGCTGATGGTGATGATTGACTGGCTGGTTACTTTGACGTTTTAACAAATACAATCCCTTAACAGCAGCACTGAGTCTGTCTTATATTTAATGTTCTTGTTACTTGTTACAAACAAAGTTAGTCAGACTGAGACATCCTCCCAAAGGCAGCTTTTCCCCCTGTGATGGTACGGGAAGCTGTCCACAGAGTTAGACAGGACGAAGATGAACGTTTTCCTCAGCACAGTGCTTATGAGCGGTTGCAGTACTGGATGAACAAGACATCCTTGGAAGAAAAACAGTCTTTCCCAGTAGTATTGAGAACCCTGCAGCTGAAAAATAATCTGAAAAAAAAAACAACCTTCCAGTTGTGAGCGAATTGAACAGTTACTACATTTACGGGCGCCCGGTTAGCTCAGTGGGTAGAGCTGGTGACTCATGTACCGAGTCCGTACCGTAGTCCTTGCTGCAGCGGCACAGGATTCGAATTCGACCTGCGGCCTTTCTATCTGCCCCCCTTTCCTGTCTGTCTTCAGCTGTCCCATCAAATAAAGGCATATAGGTTAATTATAAATACTTTAAAAGTTACTACATTTACATCTTTCAAATTATTCTGATGCACATGTGGTCTGCCACTGTAGCCTTGTTTCTAAATGTATTACAACATTTATTCAAATTTCTAGTAATTCTGCAAAGGAAAAAGCAAAAGGATGCTTGTTTCCATACACTCCCGTTCATCGAGATAAGCACACACGTGGAGGCAATTCTCCATCTAGAGAACCAGAAGAAGACGGCGCGATAAGAATTAAAAGAGCACCAGTCAAACTGTGAAGACATTAAGAACGCTCCACTGAAGCTCTCTGCATTATTATATTATCTACATTCTTTTCCACTGTTTGATGCCTGACTGCCGCTCTTTTAAATACATCATCTTTATTTTGTCTTCTTCTGCAGGTTTAATGGCACCCGACTGGAGAATTTGCACCACCTGCTGTTTATCGCAATGTACCACCCTTTATAAAATGCATTGCTGGTGCATTTATTGACATTTTCTTTGCCGGTTTTACGGACATTTTGTTAAAATTTGAACAGAAACCTGTCTGGTGTCATTATTTATACTTCCACTTGATGGCACCTAAGTAAGAAATATAAATGTCTATACATGCTGTGTCTTAGCTGAGTTAGGTGATGATGCCAAAGTAACATGGATGTCATTACACTGTTTATTTTTATTAAAATATAACTGTTCATAGCCACAAAATTACATAAACACTCACCAAACATTTGTCACATTTTTAGATTCCACACTTCATTTTTGCGCACACACAAGACAAGACATAACATGTAGGTGTGGAAGCTCAGGTGACAGTGAACACAGCAAGATTAGAAAATAAAGGCATTTAAAAGCCCCTAAAGTCTCAATGTGGCAGTGTTAACATTGAAGTACAGTACAAAGGTTTGCCTACAGAAAGCAAAAGAGAAAGGACTGCAACATTTGAATAAAGCTACTATTGTTTTGACATTGACATGGCTGTAGATGAGGAGGTTTTAGATAAGACACAGTAGACATTAACTTTGTTTTCAAGGCAACTTTAGACTACTTTTATAACAAAAGTGCAGGTTTGCAATTGGGTATTTTGCCAACACACTCTTACATTATAAGTCCCTCCAGGAAGTTGCTGTTTCGATTGCAAATATTATCGCAAATTCTAACAATCCCTGTGAATTTTGTGCGATCTTGCAATTTTGTCTAATCACCGCAACTTTTCGCATATTTGACCAATCAACGTAGTTTCCGGCGAGTTTCATCATCGTCATGCAAAACACCAAATTACTAGCGATGTTATTCTCACTAGAACAAGTTGCCTTCGAATTTTAATGAATTATACAAAAAGAATTTACATTTTCACTTTCTTGCAATTCCACTGCAAAAAAATACCTAAAAACATTGCAACATGCATCGTAATCTTTTAAGAAAAGCTGCCGTGAAATCAGATATTTTAGGCTGCAACAATCAACCCCCTAAAAAAGTCCACCAAAATCCTGGAAGGACTGCTTAATACCAAATAGGGCTGGATGATAAACCACATTTTAATGAATGTCTTATTTAGACATTTTGGGAAATACGCTTATTCACTGTCTTGCCAAGATTTAGATAAGAGACTGATAAATGTCTAAAACCACTCTTGAGTCTGTATGCTAAATGTGAAGCTACTGCCAGCAGGCAGTTAGCTTAGCATAAAGATTTGTTGAAGGAGGAAACAGCTGGCCTGGCTTTTCCAAGTTTTGGAAATTAGATGAATAAACATATTTCCCAAAACACAACTATT